TGTGTCCATATAGAAAACATGGGCTGCAGTCACTCTGCTGCTGGAATTCCACCCAAACGTTGGATTTTAGGGCTGGATGGGACACTGAAGAGCTGTGAGATGTTGCAGCAGCCAAGGAAATGAGGAGAGCAGGGAGAGGATGTTTGTGCTCTTTCTTGATAAGCAGCTGTTTAATGTGAGCAGCTTGAGACCAAGGACAGCATGAAGGAAGGGGTTGTTCTTTGCCTGGATAAATGCAAAGGTGGCAGAAAAGATTTATGAATCTCTAGTGCAGGAGCTGCTTCATCTCATCTCTGGATATCGAGTCTGGCTTAAATACTGGAGCATGGGTGCAATCAACCAAACCCATGCAGGTTTTTGTGCAGCTGACTGTGGAGGAAGATGCAAGGAAACAGCTGAGATCAGAAAATCCCCAAAGAGGAAAGGCAGAGGGATGCCTGCCCCTCTCTGTCTGGTCCCCATCCCAGAAACCAGACCAGACAGCACTTATTTCAGCAGGTCTACGTGTTATCATCCTATCCTTCCTGCTTTGTGCCTTTTGCTGCATTCTCTCTTGCTTTGTCCAAAGCTATTATTTTTCTCTCTAAAACAGACAGAATTTAGCACTGGGATCTGTTGTTGGTTACATCTCTCCTCTGTATGGCACAGTGGATCCACGACCCAGTTTAAACCTGCAGGAGCCACCTGGGTGTAAATATTTGATGGAACTGCAATTTCCCTTTTGAATTCTGCTTCAGTTTTTCAAGCCAAATCACGGAATGGTCCCAAAAGCCACTTGTTAGCTGGGGCTGTGTATGCAGTTCTTCTTGTGGAGATGGTTCTGCTTTCAGGCAGCCTTGTATTTATGTGAAATCCAAGCAGTAGGAGTAAACATGGAATTATATTTGTGTCATAATACAAGCAAGGAAAGGCAGTTAAATCCATATGTCAGCTCTTAGCCAGATGGGAGCCGTGCTGTCACTCACTGCAGTTGCTACATCAGTGATGCATCAGGGCTAGACAGAGCCTGGGAAAAGGTATTGCTGCTCTGGAGAGAGAACTTTGATGTGTTTTGAGGAGCTTTGGGGTTGGATTGAGTCAGTATCCCAAAAAGAGCCTGCAAAGCAGAAGTATGTAGGGACACACTGTCTGTTTTCCAATGAACCAACTCGAAAACCCAATTCTGTGTCCTGGGCTCCTTGTCCCTTCTGCGTGGGGATGTGTTCCTCACTGGGGTTTTTTGGCTGCTTCCTATCAGAAGGGAAGAGCAAAGTTCTGCATCCAGCCCAGTCATTGGCTGAAATTCTTAACTTTGCTTTTGGGGTAGATGGGGTTTGTTTTTATAGATGGACTCTGCTTGTATGTAGGCTCTATTGCCAAGTGAAGCATGTTACGATCCCTGTGATCTCCTTGTTTGTTTTCTAAGCTCTGTTTTTAGGAAAAGGAGGTGCGTTTTGGGGTCCTGTCTTTAGTTCAAGGTTGAACTACAGGGCTGAAAGGCGTGGGTTCACATCTGATAGCAGCAACCAGGGGTGTCTTAAAGTATCAGGCATCTCCTGCCATGGTTTCATACTTCTGGAAGCCACAGGAATTATTTTTGACAACTTAATTTGTGAGTCAGAACAAAGAAAGCACTATCAAATAATAATCTTAAAGAAAATGTTGAGCTTAAGATCTGTGCTGTGGTTCTGCTGTAATTTGGGGTTTGGGTCAAGCTCAGGGGAATGGCTGAGGACCCTGGGGTCAGGATGCTGCCTGCTTATTGTGGAGAGTTACACAGTTATATATAGCAAAGTAGGGGTTCTCTGTGAAACTGCTGGGCTGAGTCCTTGTTCAGTACATTCCAGACTTCTCATGGCTCTTAAAAGAAAAGAAGCTTTGGCTGTTTTCTGCTATTTACCACTGTGTCTCTTGCAGGATTCATGAATAAAATTTTCCATCCTAACATCGATGAAGCGTAAGTAAATCCCTCATGCATGTGGTTTTGCTCAGAATTTTGTCTAATTGTAGCTGTGTCCGTAGCTTGGCAGTAGTTTGAGAGTGAGTTCAGCCATGCTTTCATCTAATCTAACAGCCCACAGTGCATCTCAAGTTAACTTCCTTACCATTAGCCACAGGGTAAGAGTAAATCACTCCTTATCTGAAAGAGTGGGGTGAAGGCAGGGCAAGGGAAGGGAAATAGATTATGTTAAATCTGCAGTGTGTTTCTGAGCATGCTTGTGTTTAATTCCATCTTTTCCATGTGTTTCAGGTCAGGAACTGTATGTCTAGATGTAATCAATCAAACTTGGACAGCTCTCTATGGTGAGTTTTGGCATTTCCCTGGAGCTGATCACGAGTGCCCTTCTGTGGTGTCTTAACACAGCTTGCTGGATACAGATGCTTTTAGGCCAGCTCTTTTTAGTTAAATCTTAGGCTCCTCACTGAGCCAAGATCCCATGAAAAGTAAGATATCCCCGTGAAAACACTCCTGGAACCTGTTTTTGTGCCAGAGAGGCAAAATTATTTCATGCAGTTTCATAAACTGCACAAAGGATCACTCAGTCTATTGCTTGGTGGTGGCTGGCAGCTGCACAATATTATCCAGGGATGACTCAGCATGGAAAGAGGGGAGTGGCTGTATCTAAAGTGAAGCCCAGTTCCAGCCATGTTTTGTATGTCACTCGGGCTTTGGGCACAAGTCTGTGATCCCCCCTCTGCTGACAGTGATCCCATGTGGGTTGTGTTTGCCTGTGATCCTCGTTTTTAGAGCTGTAGGAAGTTTAGCTGCTAGTTGAAGATCCACTTAAACAGGATCTAGGGCAAGCTAAAATTGTTGAAAAGAATATGTCACAGAATTGTTATGGTTGAAAAAGACTTCTAAGATTCTGGTCCAGACATGAACCCATCACCACCATGGCCAATCGTAGGATCATTAAGGTTGGAAAAGGCCACTAAAATCCCCGAGTCCAACCCAATCATCCCCACCATCCCCACTGACAGTGACTCTCCCATCTCCCTGGGCAGCCTCTTCCAGTGCCTGACTTGTCTTTAGGACTGTGTGGACTTCTTCAGATGTTCCAGTTACTCTGTTGTGTGGAACTGTACTCAGGGAAATGTGTGCTTCAAATCTTTTCTCCTCTGAAAGCCCGACTTTACCTATGTAAGTTTGGAGCTTGCAAGCAATTGCTGGAGAGAGAAGAGCCTTTTCACCTACTTCACAAGCATAGTTTGTAAGGAAATACTGAGCCTGGTCAATCCTGGATGCAAAATTGCTATAGTAACTTGTTGAACTTTCCTCCTAAACAGAAAGCCTGAAGTCCTTGCGTTGTAGTTGCATGGCATACAGTTTGCATACTTCTGTTATAAGAGATCAGCTCCGTGACCCAGTGGGAGTGTTAATGAAGGAGGAGAGGCTGCTTGATGGGTGATGGAGGAAGGAAAGATGTGAACAAATCAAGCCCTCTGCTGGGGAACAAACCTGTATGGTTCATTTAGCAGCAGAACCCACCTTAGTGCAGTGTGTGCTGCTGTTCTCCCGCCTTAAGGCCACCTGCAGATCACGGGGATGGCTGGACAGAAGTAAATCACACTGGTTGAATTCAGGTTTTGTGTTCTGACAGCCCGAGTTCTGCTTTGGACAGCATATCTGGATAGCAGCCCTCTTCTGCAGCACGCTCATGCAGTCACAGTGGGGTTTCTGTGCTATTTCCAAACAATTTCACAGGAAAGCTTTCTGTAAGAGGCTTCCTAATAAGTGCTGCTGCATTTTTATCGTTGCTGTGGCTCATAAAGGCAGAAGAAATAACTTGGTGTTTCCTTTGCTTCTGATTATTAATATATATAAAAAAAATCTTCTGCATTTCTCTTTGTGATACCAGAGTAAGGCAACTTGACAGTGTCAGGTTTGTATTTTGTACAAAACACCTTCCACAGCAGGTGGTGAAGCTTGGCTTTGGAAAGTTCATCTTCTGACGGTTCTCTTCTTGCAGACTTCTCTTGCTTTGATGCCTTGAAGCTGCAGAGAGGATGCTGGGATGACTGCATTCACTCTGCTCCTTCAGTCAGGACACCCCCAGAGCCCATCCATCTCTTCAGTCCCAGGGTTTGCCTCCTTGCCTCCTTACATTCCTGAATGTACCATCCAAGGGGGGGGAATTGTACTCCCCAGTGCCTCTCAGCATAGTTGTGCTGTTTGCAATGAAACCAGAACCCTCCTACGCTGGCAGAGGAAATGGGCCAGATAATTCAAGGAGGAACTAAGGTGGAAGAGACCCAGAATAGCTACCAACAAAGTCATGGGGCCTCGTGGTCAGATTCCCTGTTGTTCCCTAATGAAGTATCAGGTTCTTAGTGCTATTGTTAGGCTTCCTGCATGCATTCAACCAGTCCTTGTTAAACCAGTGCTGCTTTTGGCTGTTAAGGAGGGACATCCCTGAGGTTTACTTTAAAAATAATGACAATTCAAAAGATCCCTGCAGTGGAAGAATCCTTCCAGGGCTCTGCTTGCTGAGCACACACAGGTTTAGTTGTCAAATGGCCACAGAATGTCATAGAATCCATAGAATCACCAAGGTTGGAAAAGACCTCAAGATCATCCAGTCCAACCGTCCGCCTCTTGCTATGAGCACCATCATGTGGAGCACTGGCAGTGTTTTGGGTTCAAGGTACAGTGCTGTGGTCGTGGAACATGAAACAGTGATTTTAGAAGAAGGCAGAAGTAGAAGAATTCAGTGAGGTGGGGAAGCATGGTGCTGTTTGCTTTCCCCCATGCAGTCCCTTTTAACTTCAGATTTTCAGTGCGTTTACCCTCAAAACTTTGTGGTGCTGTCTCACTGCTGGTGCTTGCAGAGATTCAGGCCAGCTCTGGGTGAGTGGATGTGAGCAGCTTTGTCTTTCCCTTGCAGATCTCACCAATATATTTGAATCGTTCCTGCCCCAGCTGCTGGCCTATCCTAACCCTATAGATCCTCTAAATGGTGACGCTGCAGCCATGTACCTCCACCGACCAGAAGAGTACAAACAGAAAATTAAAGGTAAGGGCATCAGTATGATTGTAACTCAGCCCAGGGGAAGGAGGACTGTCTTTGCTGCAGATTTTTGTCAGTCCCCATTCATTCCCCTTACAGCAGCCTCATTTGTTTTAGAGATGGGAGAACAATTGGGAAGAAAAGATATGTGACTGAGGAAGGAGCAAGGAAAAGTGCTCAGGTTAAGTGGAAATATCCATTTCATGATTACTGGGCAGAAAATAGCTTGTTAGCAGTTCTTTGGGAAGTTATCTGAGGGCAGGAATCAGTAATACCATTGCAGAAAGCAGTTCTGTACCGTGACAGAGCAGGAATTTTCAGTAAATGCCGAGCAAATTCCTTGTCACCTCCTACTCCAGCTGAGGCTTAGTGCTCTGTGCTGTTCAGAGAGTGCCATTAAAGAGAGCTGCAGACCAATTAGTGATGTCTGGAAGGATGTAATGGGGTAGAGATGGTCTTGAAGGTCTCTCTGAAGACAAGAGAATTGGAGAGTTTGATTTAGAGTACTGAGTGGGGCTGTGAGCTCTGATGTGTCAGGGATGCCTTCAGAGAATAAAGGAGTGACTTATCCTGTAATCACCATGAGCAGGAGGTGCTCACAGGCTTGTAGCTCAGCTAGGGGAGCCTAGGCTGGACATTAACTGATGGGGGTGGGTAAGCCCTGGCACAGCCTGTGAGAGTGCTGGTGTGTCTGCTCACAGAGGGGTGGGAAGGACAAATGAGACAAGTCAGAAATAATTAGCCAGCAGCAAGCTGGGATCAGCTGCATGCAGACAGGAGCAGAGGCAACAGACGCATGGCAAAAGCCATGCACGTATATACTTGAGCCAGTGGACACAGTCAGCATTTAATCCACTCTTTGGCCCAGATTGCATCTTCAGGTTCTTTTGAACAGAGGCTGTGACCACCTGTGTGGTTTGTGGTTACTGAATAACCATCAGACTTGTTCATCCAGGGAGCCCTGCTGGGACGGGTCGCAGGTCCTGCTCAGCAAGGAGAGCCTCCATGAGCAGCTCCTCGTGAGCAGCTCCTCGTAACCATCCTCCCACGTGAGATGGGGCAGCAGCATTGTGAAATCCCTGCTGTTCAGGGAGTGCAGGTAACCCAGAAAGAGGTGGGGTTTGGTCCTGGAGTCCTTTCATCACTTGTGCCACGTCACTGCAGAGCAGTTAAACCTCAGCTCGTCGTGTTGTGATGCCGCATGACTCCAAGGGTGGAACTACAAATGAGGTCAAGCCAAGCTTGATTTAAATACTGAGTTATTTGGCACACTGTTTGATTCCTCTGACAGCTGCATGACAGCATGGTAAGAACTATTCTGCAGATCTGCCCTGTTTGCTATCCTGGAGCCCATTGCTGCTGCTTCTTAGGAAACAAGCTTCCAGGCAGAATGGTTTGTCAGATGAAATCTCCAAGGCCAGCATGAAGGGACACTTTGGGTGTCCTCTGTGCTTTAATGAACCAGGGGGAAAAAATGACAGATGCACCCTGGAAGAGACAAAGAGACTGATGCTAACCAACAGCAGGTGCTTCAGGGAAGAGCTCAGGGCATCCCTGAGGGAGGCTAAATGGGAGAGTCTGCTCCCTTGTTTCCATCTTGGCAGTCAGATGCTGTGAAGATGATCTGGAAGGAGGTTTAAGTGCTTAAAATGTGTCTCATGTTCCCTGTACCCAAGTGTCCTGTCTTGTTCCAGGCTTGCGTGACAAGTATAGGATAGAGCTAAATATTGTCATTCCTGATATTGCAGTGTTTTTAAAAATAGCCTTGGACATGTTAAAACTGAGGCAGTGGATTGTAACAGCTTCTCTGCTCTGGGAAGCTCAGGATCTGCAAATGCATAATTTATTGCTTTTTTTCCTTCATTTTTTAGTTATAGGCACATAAAGCAGTTGCTTGACGTAGCAGTGAAGAGACAGGCTTAGAGTTAAGGTTGCACAAGGTTGCTGTGAGACCCATACAAGTAAGAATTTATCATGGAATTTGTAAATATCTGTTAATACTACTGATACAGAGACAGAAAATGTGGTGCTTAGCATTAGGTCCTTCTTCTCCATCAAGGGATGGAATAACACAGAACCAAGCTCTCCTTTAAGATCTGTTTTCTTGGTGATCCTAAGCAGGATGGCTTGCCAAATGCTGTGCCTGGGGATACCCATCCCCACTGGATTTGGGGTCACCTGCAATTCCCAGTAAGGGTGTCACCCTTGTCACAGTGAAAGAACTAATACAAATAGCAAAGGAACTTGGGTTCCCTTTACTGGTTTGTGCAAGAAATAGCATCTCATCTGGGTAAATAACCCTTCTCTACGGAAAATCGGTTTCTAGAAAGCCACAGGGAGTAGCCAGCAGGGGGATATGGCCTGTTGGCAGCATCCCATCTCCTTATTTCTGGTGATTGCCTGTTGCCCACCCGCCTTCCCATGTAGATGTGTGATTTTGTGACCCCCCCCCTTCAGCTGGTTCTTCTCGTCTTTGAGGTCTGCCACATTGTTTGCTTTCACTTTGCAGCATCCATCTCTTTTGGCAGGGATCTCTGCCCCAGCCTGTGCTCTCTGCTCTCTGCAGGTTCGAGACATCAGGCACCATGATAACACATGCAAGCACCTTTTCAGAAGGGGAATTTTTAGTGTTCAGGACCTGAGGACAGAGCACAGGACTGCTTTCCTATCCACACTGTGCACTGAGAGCTTTCTGGTGGTCTGTCTCTCTCCGCGTTGCGTGGAGAGCCCTCAAGTGCTCCTTGTTTGCATAGCTGCCTTTAATATTTTATCAGTTCTTACAAGCTTTTTGTAAAGCAGATTGGGATAGCTCCTCCTGCTGTTGGAGCAAGCAGGTTCATCATATATATTTAACACTTAGACTGAAACCATGTGCATCATTGGATGGAGATGCTCGGAAGCACCTTTCAGCCTGCTCTCCTGCACAGGTTTCCCATGGCAGAGCAGCTTTGCCAGGGTCACAACTGCTCCACCAAGTGTTTGTCTTCAAGTTCTGTTCCTTGGGAAGAATTAATGCCCAATTTGGAAGGCTGCAGGGTTTGGTGTGTGCCGTGCACTTTTTCCTTGCAGGCACTCATCTCTGAGTGCAAGGGGGTGATGTTATTCCCCTTCACTTCTAGCGTTGCTATTTGAAGGAGGGCTTGTTGCGTTTTAGTAGCTTAAAGAAAGCAACTTCACAGCTGAAATTCCCCAAGAACAGCATGAGAACGGCTCCTCTCCTACGTGCAGAGCAATGTGGAGGATGTGCTGTTGGGATACTGCTGTTTCAGCACTTGTCCATGCTCTGAAGCTGCTTTTTCAGCAGGCGTGCACGTAACAAATAGATTTTCTCTGCTGGAGATGTCCTCAGCACACAGGTTTCCAGATTCTTCTTGAATCCCAGAGGGGAAGTTGCAGAAGCAGTTCCCAGACTCAATCTGCCTGGTCCCAGTCCATTTATTACCTTTCTGCTCCATCTCTCTGTGTGGAAAAGCAGCACGAGCCACAGTTGGCAGTGGTGATTCTACCTGCCTGCAGGAATCCCAGTTAAACCAGTTTCTCTGCTTTCTGCAAGGCTTCCTGCTGGCTCCTGGCTGCAGTGCATGGATCTGGGTGCCTGGAGCTGGTGTGGTTTGAAGCCTGCTGTGAGACACAGTTTCTTTTGTTGAAGTTGCAGTGCTCTGGGCTCCCTGCAGCTCCTCCTTGGCTAATCCTACAGCTGATGTGAAACTGGCTGCAGGAGATGAGCTTGGAGATCAGAGACAGCTCTGCTGAGGCACAGTCTCCTCCAAACTTGGATTGGGAAGGGGCTCCAGCTGCATTGGTGTGGCCATAGCTCCAGTGTGCCCCGTATACAAACGGTCCCATGGAGAGCCCCCTATTTTCCTGCCAGGAGAAAAACTGAATTGAAACTCTCAATAATACTTTTTTAAGCTCAGGCAGTGTAAAATCACAGAATCACAGAATGGCTTGGGTTGGAAGGAAGTGTAGAGGTTACAGAATCCTAGAATGACTTGGGTTGAAAAGAACCGTAAGGATCATAGGATGTTTGAATGGGTTGGGTTGGAAGGGTCCTTAAAGATCATAGGGCCATAGGATAGGTTGGGTTGGAAGGGTCCTTAAAGATCAAAAGGCCATAAGATAGGTTGGGTTGGAAGGGTCCTTAAAGATCAAAAGGCCATAGGATAGGTTGGGTTGGAAGGGTCCTTAAAGATCAAAAGGCCATAGGGTGGACTATATTGGAAAGGTCCTTAAAGATCAAAAGGCCATAGGGTGGACTATATTGGAAGGATCCTTAAAGATCATAAGGCTATAGGATAGGTTGGGTTGGAAGGGTCCTTAAAGATCAAAAGGCCATAGGATAAGTTGGGTTGGAAGGGTCCTTAAAGATCATAGGGCCATAGGATAGGTTGGGTTGGAAGGGTCCTTAAAGATCAAAAGGCCATAGGGTGGACTATATTGGAAGGGTCCTTAAAGATCAAAAGGCCATAGGGTGGACTGTATTGGAAGGGTCCTTTAAGATCATAAGGCCATAGGGTGGACTATATTGGAAGGGTCCTTAAAGATCATAAGGCTATAGGGTAGGTTGGGTTGGAAGGCTCCTTAAAGATCACAGAGCCATAGGATAGGTTAGGTTGGAAGGGTCCTTAAAGATCAAAAGGCCATAGGGTGGACTATATTGGAAGAGTCCTTAAAGATCATAAGGCCATAGGATAGGTTGGGTTGGAAGGGTCCTTAAAGATCAAAAGGCCATAGGATAGGTTAGGTTGGTAGGGTCCTTAAAGATCAAAAGGCCATAGGGTGGTCTATATTGGAAGGGTCCTTAAAGCTCATGGAATGGGTTGGACTGGGAGGAACCTTAAGCATCACAGTCATAGAATGGTTCAATTGGAAAAGCATCCACAACTTAGAGAATATTGGTGGTGGCTGGATGGCATTCAAACTTGTTCTCCAGATGAACACAGAATCTCCCGTTTTAGCAGTAAGCGGAACGTGAGCTAAACCATCCAAGGGAGGATTTAGGTTGTTTCTAGCTATGAGTGTGATGTAGTAGCACAGAGATGGCGTGTGTTTTCACACTCACTGCTGGGCAGTGCTGCTTTGAACCAGAGGAATGTGGTAACCCTGGGATCAGTGCTCTATCTGCACTGCTGTCGATTATCCTACCATTACTGCTGTACTTGGAGACTGACCAAACACGGTGTTGCCCGATCGGTCTGGAGCCATCCTCTAACTGCTGAATACGTGCTGCTTATGCATTTTTTCTTTTCTGTCACACACAGAATACATTCAGAAATATGCAACAGAAGAAGCACTAAAAGAGCAGGAAGAAGGCACCGGGGACAGCTCGTCTGAGAGCTCCATGTCCGACTTCTCGGAAGACGAGGCTCAGGATATGGAGTTGTAGTAGAAGAGGCAACCTGCTTTTCAGAGAGACTCTAATTTCCTAACCATGAGAAGCAGACTATAATATTCATATTTAAACAAAGCAATTTTTTTTATTACTAAACAAGGTTTTTATGAATAATAGCATTGATATATATATATATATATATATCACCCTTTAGATCTTGATTTTTTTTTTTTTTCTTGGTCATTTCTCAACCCGAGGTGCATAGCATATTCCCACATTCCATTTTGGTAGCAATATGCAGCCCAAATGCATGCATTCAGATTCCATTTGGCCAAGTCAAACTTGTGTGCTACTGAACTGTCAGCTCAAACAGCTGCCCTGGTAGGTAGGGAGTTAGCAAAGAGGTTTGCTTTCCGATCGATGTTTCCAAAGAACACCACCTTGGATGCTCACATGGAACAGCGTTTTCTCTTCAGATCAATCTGAGGGGATGTGCTATGAACTGCACAGATCAGACAGTGGGATGAAAGGTGCTCCTTCAGGTCAACCTCGCCGATGGTTTTGGATGCGGAGTCACATTTAAAACGTTCGACAGAACCAGCACCGATGCATGGAGCTCCTCAGAGCCTTGAAGCTGAAGAGTTTAGACTGGGATTTTCAGTCCGTTTTTTCTATGTGGACTCCTGCCTGCCCTTCTGAACCGTAGGGACTGACAACCACTGCTCCATCCATCCGCTTTTGGGACTTTTGGGAGCCTTCATCTGGATGTTATTCTTTCGGTCTGGATTACGAGCTGTTCCCTCGCCGGGAGGAATGAAACACAAACGATGCTCTTTGGTTTAGCTGGAGCACGTGCGTAGCCCAACTCTTCCTTCGTCATCCTTTTTGAAACTGCTGCCCTTCGTGGCTCCAAGTTTCGCTTTTTTCTCTTGCTTGAAGGATGCTTGAACACCTCTCCAGCACCTCCACCTCCTGGGGGGGCTCTGAGCAGATGGATGAGCCGTGCTGAGAGCTTGGGATCCGCGGAGATCGGCCCCGTTGGCTGCGGTCCACGAATCCATCGGCACCCATTTTATTTTCCTTTTTCTCCCCTTCTGCACCAGCTTGGTAGCCATCTGCTTGTGTGTGTACAACAGGATTAAAATTTCTTGAAGTTAACAAAGAATGTGATCTAGGAGGAAAAAAAAAAAAAAAAAAATGAGATGAATAATAATAATAAAAAAAAAAAGCCTAAAAGCACCAATTGAGGAAGCAAGTGAATCTGCTCTTCTTTTTTTTTTTTTCCTGATATATATATATATACTTTTTTTTTTCTTTGACAAATGAAATATTTGATTTCTTCGGGTGTTTTTCAGCAAGCTGAGATTTGCATTTGTTTGTTTTGATGCTAAGGAACGGAGCAAATGTCTACCTGGGATGCTGGTATACTTGAATTTGGATAATTGTGCGTTGGAGATCGGAGTGGAGATGGATATTAAACCTGAACGTGACCTGCTGTATTTTGGGGGGGGGATTTCGGAGGGGTTTGGGTGAGATATTTTGATGTGTGGCGCAGCCTATGGGACGGTGCATGGGAACTGATGCAGCCCATGCTGCTCTGAGCAGAGTTCTGAACGTCGGGTCGGTGCGTTTGGCTTTTCCCAGCCGTGTTTTCCTTTAGGAACGCCACTGAGTTCCGTGTCAGCGGGGTTGGAAGGGTTACAATCCTATTTCTAATTCACATAAAGCACAATCGATTCGTTTTGAAGAAAAAGAACTCATTAAGTATCATTTTGCTTTAGCATGATTTTCCTTAATAAAAAATATACAAAGAATTTCATTTATGCTGATTACGGGCATGAAGCAAAGGGTTTTGGTTGGTTTTTTTTTTTTCCTTTTTTTCCCCTTGCCCCCCACCCTCTTCTTTTCTTTTGAATCAGTAACGTAGGGCTGTGGCTAGTGACTGTGCTGAAGTTCTCTATCTAGCATTTGTGGCTTGTTGGAAGGGTAATATTAACTATTTAACATGTAATGGTGTACTTAACTCTTATCTAGCACGCTGTTTTCTCATTATTTGGGGTGGGAGGGGCCACATTTGCTGGCACTGTTTACCTTGCTTACCTGCTGACCTAGCAGTTTGCTTGTGCTATAACCTTTACTGTAGGTGCTACTTAGGAGTAGAGTCAGTGCTGGGTGGTGATATCAGATTTAAAAGAAGAAAACAAAAAAAAAAAAAAAAAAAAAGAAAAAAAAAAAAAAAAGAAAAAAAAAAAAAGAAAAACACAATAAAAATTTGTATTTTTTCAATATTGTATAAAAACAGTGTTCTAATTACCTCACCCCCTTTCTTTTTGCAGGTTAGCCCCATCGCTCCGTCCCTCCCACCTTTGTTTCGATGCATCCCGCTCGCACGCTCTCCCCTGTTTGCTTCACAGAGCACTGGTTTCACAGAGGTTCCCCAAAAAACCCGTGCTTGGTGCAGCCCTGACCCTGCCTGGGGCTCCTGGCGCCGCTCTTCTTTCCTCCCCATCTTCTCCTGTGTCGTTTTTCACCTCTTTTTCCAAGTCTTCCTCCTGAAAGAAACCTCCCTCCACCCCACCCAATAGCTTGTAAATAAAACCACGTGTGTAGACTGGAAAAGGTGGAGCCTTATTGCAGCACGGTAGCTCTTTTTTCATCTTGAGGGTGGTTGTTTTTTTTCTTTTTTTCATTATCAGCATTCATAAAACAGCGTTGTCATTGCCTCATGCTCTCTTGCACTGATGGGAGCATCAGCCAGCCCAACCCCGACCCCCATCTCCCTGCTCTCAGATGAGCTCCCCCAAACCAAACCTTGGTGCTGAATTGGAAACAGGCTTTGCCTTCTGCTCCCATCGATTCCCCTTTTGGCTGTCGAGGATTTTGCTTCTCTGTGGTGCCAGCAGGGTCATTGGAAGCTTCTTGGTGTCCTTGCTGCGCCATGGAATTTGTTCCCCAAGGGCTTTTTTCCTCCATCCCGTTGATCACTGGAAATTCCTTGGTGTCATCATCACCGTCCCTTGGGGTCAGTAGGACGTGTTCCTGCATGGCTTTCTTGTAGCTCTGGTCATGAGGAGCTCTTTAATACTATCGATGCTACGCTATGGGATCAATGGAACGTGTACCCCAATGGCTTTGTTCTCCAATCTCATAGCTTTGGTCACTGGAGGTTCCTCAATGTCAACGGGATGCGTTCCCCAATGGCTTTGTTCTCCAATCCCATCACTTTGGTCACTGGAGGCTCCTTAATGTCAACGGGATGCGTTCCCCAATGGCTTTGTTCTCCAATCCCATAGCTTTGGTCACTGGAGGTTCCTCAATGTCAACGGGATGCGTTCCCCAATGGCTTTGTTCTCCAATCCCATCACTTTGGTCACTGGAGGCTCCTCAATGTCAACGGGATGCGTTCCCCAATGGCTTTGTTCTCCAATCCCATCGCTTTGGTCACTGGAAGCTCTTTGGTGTCATTGGCACTGCCATGGGATCAGTGGGATGCGTTCCCCAGTGTCTTTTTTCTTGCATCCCGCTGGTTGTTGGAAGCTCCTTGGTGTCATCAACGCTGTGCCATGGGATCAGTGGCACATCAGTGTTCCCCGATGGCTTTGCTCCTCCATCCCATAGATGTGGTTTTTGGAAACTCCTTGGTGTGTATGGCACGCGTTCCCCAATGGCTTTCTTCATCCATCCTATTGGTCATTGGAAGCTCCTTGGTGGCATCAACACCTTCCCTTGGAGTCAGTGGGACGTGTTTCTCCAATGGCTTTGTTCCTCCATCCTATAGTTTAGATCTTTGGAAACTCCTCAGTGTCAACAGGATGTTCCCCAATGGCTTCGTTCCTCTATCTCATGGCTTTGCTTTGCAGGCAGCATGGAGCAGAGCTTTGCCATCACCTCAGTACCACTCAACCTCAACTGGGACGGGCATACGCCCCACATCCAAGGCTCTTCTTCCCATCCTACGTAGAGTCAGAGGTGTTTCACCCCTTTTCTCCTTCCTTTTTGCTCACCCCAAGTTCTACTAGCACTTTCGCAGGGGTGTCCGCAGCGTGAGAAATGGCCATTATTTTACTGACTGTATTTGGTACCTATCGTGTGATACTTGAAGAGATCGGGGCGTTTCGCCCTCCAACAGAGTCTAAACTCTCTTTCTTTCCTTTTATTCCCTTTCTTTTTTGTTTTTCCTCTTGCGTTGTGATGTAGTGGGCAAATCTGCCCCCGCTGACGAAATGCCTCTTCTCTAAGAGTATAACCTCGCCGGTAGTTGTGTATAATGACAGAACTGTAAACTTTTTTTAAAATAAAAAATATGTATATACCTCAGAGGCTGCCTGGTGCTTGAGCTTCGTGCAGGAAGGGCTCCTGTACCCCACATCGTTGGCTCCGTGGGATTTATGGCACCCTTGGGGCATTTTTTGTGTCGGGGATGAGCTCTTGGCCGATGGAAAATAAATCATGGTGGCTGATGACTGAAAATGGGGCTGCATGGGGTTGGATGCTGAGCATTTCTGTGGAATCATCAGACGTCTGTGGTGGCCACCCAGTGCAGCCATCAGCCCATCACCACCGTGCCCACTCATCATTGAGGCATGAAAAGATGGCTGAGATCATGGAGTCCAGCCACCAACCCACCACCAAGAACATCTGGGATCAATCATCTGGCCCGATCTTCAACCCATCACCAACCCTAAATCCACGTCCCTAAATCCCATGTGTGACGTTTGGCTTGATGTTGGATGGA